AAGATCCCCATCAGCCCCTTGCCGACTACCACCTACTACACCACCCCGTGGCACTGCTCCATCGCCTTCAGCGTCAGCGGCGCCATCACCACCGGGCCCCGATCCGAGTTCGAGAACGACCCCAAGTACGAGCTCGTCTACGAGGACGGCAGACCCAGCTACTTCCGCGAGAAGAGCGACCTCTACAACTGGAACAAGGACGTCACCTTCGAGCCGATCTACCCCTGCGGCGTTGTCATCCGCCCGGCTGCCGGCCCCAAGAAGCTCTCCATCCACGACATCGACGCCAAGAAGGTCCGCGCCCTGTCCGAGGTCAACTCTCCCGTCATCATGCGCGGCTTCTCCAAGACCAAGGACCGTGACCTGTTCGTCAAGAAGTCTGAGGAGTTTGGAACGCCTCTCCCGTGGAAGTTTGGCCTTGTCCTCGAGGTCAAGGACCAGGGTGCCGATACCCGTGGTCTGAATAACGTTCTGTCAGCCGAGTGGATGCCCTTCCACTTCGATGGTCTGTTCAAGACCCACAAGGTGCCCCAAGAGGACGGAACTGAGAAGCTTCTTCCCAACCCTCCCAAGTAAGTCCACTTACAGCGGCACAGCAGTGCAGATCCGATGATCCGGAGCTAACCCACTCCTGCAGGTTCCAGTTCTTCACCTCGGTCACGCCCTCACCGAAGGACACCGGCTTCACCCTCTTCACCCCGTCCCGCCTCGTCTTCCAGAACCTGCCTCCCCACCTGCCTCTTGAGAAGCTCTCCAAGCTCACCTGGAGCGTCCAGACCAGCTCCTTCGACGCCACCAAGATGACTGGCCTCCCTCTCGTCACTCCTCACCCGGAGACCGGCGAGGCCTGCATCCGCTACCACGAGCCCTGGCCTCAGTCCAAGACCACCTTCGATGCCACCTACGTGAACATTGAAGGCGTCAGCGAGGAGGAGAGCACCGAGATCTGCAACATCCTTGACTCCCTGTTGCACGACCGCAGGAACACGCTCTACTTCTCTTGGGAGGAGGGCGACCTGCTCGTCAGCGACAACGTCCTGGCGATGCACACCCGCAGTGACTTCAAGGCTGGTTCGCCGAGAGAGTTGTGGCGCATTCACTTCGACTAAGCGTTTGGTTGCATTGGGTTGGAGCGAGTATTCTTGCATTGTACATAAAAAGTTGTAAAAGTTGCAGCATGGCTTTAGGATTCCCTCTCTGTTCTGTTTAGGTTGGCATAGGCATCTTTTGGTAGATTGAAACGAATCACATCACTTATGATCAATACGCTACTCTTTCCTGACGTGACATGTTTGCATTGCACATCAAGTCTATTATATTCTCATCTTAGTTCCTCAAGCACTTTGGGGCATTTTTAGTGTTGACGGTAATGTCCTTTTAATTGGTTAGGAACAAAATTTGTCAAGTCCGTCAGCTCAGTCTCACAGACAGTACACAACACTCAGAATAGCTCAGTAGAGTAGCAACTTAGTTGAGTTACCAATGGTCGTTCAGAAAAATCGCTGCAACAGAGTGCAAAAGTCCCATTAACACCTAGTATCCAACCAATCATAGTTGCGCCTTCGTTTCCAACATCCGCCTGCCCTTCTCCAGCTCTTGAGTCAAGTCGTACTTCCATATCCAGTCCATGCGGGTCGACAAGTTCTCGGCGATCCACTCCGGGTCATCCTTCAACTCCAAATCGTACAATTGCCCCTGCTCGCGGCTGTCCGTGACCAAGTTCTGCGACCTCTCCTTCCTGGTCTTGTTGTACACAGCAAATGCAGGCTCAATCTCTTCGGGGCTGGAGATCACACTCAACAGGTTGCCCATGACGTATGCATCTTCAATTGCCATACCGGCTCCGGAGCCCTTGTGGGGTGTTGAGGCGTGGGCTGCGTCACCCAAGAGGCACACCCGGCCCTTGAAGAATGTGTGACTGGGCGGGTGGTCGAATAGGGCCCAGACATCGGGCTTTTGCATCATCTGGATGATTCGACGGGCTTGTTCGCTCCAGCCTTCAAAGTCGGCAAGCATTTCCTCCTTGTTCACTGACACAACCCAGTTGTCCGATTTCCAGTTGTCTTTACTGCGCATAGCAACCACTAGAACTTTGTTAGTATCGAAGACCCGTTTGAGGTGCTTGTTGCAAACTTACCATTCATGTATTTGCCCTTGGCTACGGAGAAGGTCAAAATGTGACCATGCCTTCCGCAGTACATCTGGGCGTTCCCGGCCAGCTCTTCACCAAGCAGCTCTTGAGCTTCCTCAATGGGAATCAGCCCCCGATAAGCGCATTTTCCGGAGAACACAGCCTTAGCGGCTGGATCATTCTCTCCCAGCATGACGCTGCGCAACTTGGACTTGATGCCATCACAAGCAATCACCGCGTCGTGTCTAGCTGTTGTGCCGTCCTGGAACTTTAATAACACGCTCTTCCCATCGTCCTCGTAATCCACACAGCGCTTGCCAAACTTGGCAATTCCGTCCGGCAGCAGCTTCACCAGCTCATCCAGAAAGTGAGCGCGGTGGATGCTCGTCTGCCCGCCGTCACACTCCAGGCGGTAGATCAGGTCGCCCTCCTGGTACTTGCCGTCGCACGACTCGCCGTACCTGAAGTCGAACCACACGCCCTTGTGGTCCTCCGACTGGTTGTACGTCACCTGGGCTTCAAACGCGTCCCGAACGTGCGGTGAGATCAGAGACATGGCCCTCAACGCGTTGGGCCCGAACGAGACGCCGGCCCCGATCTCTCCGAACTGCGGCGCCTGCTCGTACAGCGTCGTCGGGATACGCTGGAGCAGGAGCTGGAGTGTCAGCGTCAGGCCGGCGATACCGCCTCCGACCACAGCGACGTTGAAGTCTTTGTTCGGAGGCAGGCAAAACTCTGGCGGCGGCGTCATCTTCGATACGTGTGATTGAGAAGTGAGAAGTGCCAAGGAGGAATAGAGTTCGGACGCAGAAATGAATAGGACGGGCACGTGCTGTCTGTCACCCTTTTCACTGTGTGCTTTGAAACGAATAATCGAGCTGACTCAAAATTCTTTGGCCGTGTCCCAAGGTAAAGGTATTTCTATGAAGATATACATGGAAAGAGTACACGGCGCGAACCACCAGAAATGAAAACACCTGCAGCAGAGCTTGTCCCTTACAGCCTCACCGGCTACTCGGATGAGACCTATGACGCCGACGACGACAAAATTGAATGACAGCACCCACCGGAAGGATCCATCGGCTGCCACCGACAATTCTTGCCGATAGTCCCGGGCCCCGAAATTCAACGGACAAGCAGCGTCGATGATCTTCGGATGGGGCGTCCACGTTGTGCTGACGTTCTTGCGGTGGCGTATTGGCTGGCGCTGTCGGGTCACGGGTTATGCATCTTCGGCTTCGGGAATTGGGTTGGTTCTAGAAAGTCCACCAGCTGCCTAGCCGAAGCAGCCTTCGGGTGACGGTTTTAAGGGGCGTGCATTGACCCGGGTAGTATCACTTCTCAATATCGGCAGTGAGGGGAAACGAGGGGGATGGATGAATGGGGATCATGCATCGAACTAATCTTGTCCGTTGCAAGCTCTCCGAAACTTTAAAGCTTCGGCTGTTGAAGATTGTTCGTTGTCTCTGAGCGTTGAAGAATCGCCATGTGGGCGCCATTGTGTGTTAGTTACCCCAGACGCCACAAAAAAATGTCCGTCTAATTTAGTCTCGTCGATAGTTGCTGTCGCACCGCCCTGGCCGGAGCCCGATCCGAGAGGCACTCATTGCCTGGGGAAATTCGGGTATCTTCCCCAGATTCCCCGGATTCTGTCAAGATGAATCTCGAGATCCAAGGAGGGTTGTTTCCCACGGGATGGGAAAGAGTTTAAAAGGTCAGCCCCACCGCTGTCATTGAGTCACGGTGATGGTCAGACCTCAGACTGGCTTTTGAGTTCCATCAGACGGCTGCAACAATGGCGACTAAACCAACCTTCATCTTTGTACCTGGCGCTTGGCACTGCGCGACTCGCTTTCGGCCTGTGACTTCGCAGCTTGAAGCTCTCGGATACAACACTGTGTCCGTCCAGTTGCCTTCCTACGGAGCAAACCCACCGCTGAAGGACTTTGAGCCCGACGTTGCGGCGATTCGGCAAGCGATTGAGAAGGCCGTCGACAATGGCGAGGAGGTGGTGCTGTTCATGCACAGCTACGGCGGTGTAGTTGGCTCTGAAGCCTGCCGAGGGCTTGATACAGCAACACGCAAGAGGGAGGGCAAGCCAGGGGGCATTGTCCGCCTGATCTTTTGCGCTGCTTTCCTGCTTCCTGAAGGTGTGAAACGAAACTATTTCCCAGTGGTCTGTATGACATTGAGACTAACATGGCTTGAAAGGAGTCTCACTCATCGACATGCTCCAAGGCCAACCGCTGCCTTGGTTCAAGTTGTCAGAGAATGACACCATCGTCGACGCCGAACGGCCCATAGAAATATGTTACAACGACCTTGACGAGAAGGCGGCTGCGGAGGCGGTGCTTGGGCTGAAGTGCCACAGCTACAGAACGTTTTTCAGCAAGCTTACATATGCCGCCTGGAGAGACATCCCGGTGACCTACATTCTCTGCGAGCGGGACAACGCGATCCCGCCGCCAGCACAGCAGCAGATGATCGATGCTTCTAAAGTGGATGTTGTTATCGAACGGATGGATGCTAGTCACTCGCCATTTTTGAGCAGGCCTGATGATGTTACGGCGGCGTTGAGGCGGTCGGCTGGAGAGGTCTTTTAGCGAGCTATTGAAACCGACGTGTTTGTTTGCCTGTATGAGCTGCATGATTGTTTTCGTTAGGTATGAACCAAGAATTGAATAAGTTCCGCGAGTTTCCAGATTTAGAGGTCTCAGCCTCCGTCTTCATGTTCTCGTGACCAAGATGAAAGACAACTGAAGCTGTATACGAAACCATTGACGGACTTCACTCTTGTGTGTTTTGGTCATTACGGTATCATTAAGTCGTACTATCGCTACTTTACACATGTATAGATGTCATATCCTCCTCAACATGGTGGATCAAGCAACGCACCAGTTTCCGGCATCATCATCTCATCGGTGTATCCCAGATGTGATAGACCCACATCCATGGTCGGAAAGAATGGCATGTCGTGGGCGTAAGAGTCGAAGAGCAGCGTCCTCGGTGACATTGGAAGTAAGATATCGGTCGACGGTGTCAGAGCCTGCGTGATATTTGATCCCCTTGCTTGCTCCGCTTCCCCCAGCTGATGACCATCGGAGCTCCCTGTTGTTAGAGAAGCGTTCTGGTCTATGCTGCTCAATTCTTCCGCGTCCGAAGTACTGTGTAGCCTTTGGCCGCCGAACATCCGGGACTCTCGACCGAAGCTTGCAGACCCCATTCTTGAGGTATCGTTGGATAATGACGCACCATCATGAACGCTTCCGAAGAGCTCTCCTATAAGCATCCCTTGGCACTCCATCTTGCGCCGAGCCCTCCTTTCCGTGTACAATACGCAGGCGCCTTGCAGATGCTCAACTATAGATAATTCCCTATTAGCAACTGGATCATGCTTGCTGAACCGTCGTAGGAGCGCTTGGGCGTCTGCTAAGCTCTTGTCTAGTGGGAAGGTGCTGTCCAGGTCACCAAACACAGCCAGTCCAAGCACCAGGGCCGATACGAACACCGAGTTGATAACGAAGGGATGTCGCTTTGAGACATTCTTATCAGTGATGAGGCCTGACAAAAGGTCGATGGTGCGGATTGCCGAGTCTACGCAAGCGTGGACTAGCAGTTGGTCAGATGATGATGACAGCTGTGGCTCATCATGCCATGTTGACATGTTTTGTGACCGAGCCATGTTCCTTGAGACAAAGTCGATGAGAAACGGCCGTGAGAGTAACATGATGCTCCAATAGTAGGCCTCTTTCATGTGGTAAAGTCCCACGTTGGGGTACTTTTCACCATCCTCCGCTTCAACATACATGCCTGACTTTACGCCATCCGCGGCAAGACCGTCGCTGAACCGTGCAGCCCAGCGACGATGTTGTTCGCTGACGCGCTCCAAGGTGTCTGTCGTGACCATGCGCTTGGCGTAGACATCGTTGAGAATGGACTCAAAGATGGAACATAGCTCCAGCGAGGCTGAGTGGTTGTCGGTTGATGAGAAGTCCCGGGATTCTGTGGTGGCCAAGGGCCGCCCTAGTGAAGCCGCAAGGAACAAGTCTAAAACTCGAAGGGCTTTCCATAGACGCTCCCTAGTTTCTTGCTCGTGGATCGGGAAGAGAGATGAGTTGTCTCTTTTGTGTATACCCAGTGCGTGAGCTGCACGGACGGCGACGCCGAGATGCATGAAGGCGGAATTGCGCCTGGATGCGCCAAGCAGATAGACGGTGATCAAGACGTAGGTGCTGACGGTATTGTTCGTTGGATTCTCCATGGCATAAGAGACCGCCAGAAACCGGCCATAGTTGAAGTACTTCTCGGCGTCAGCATCCCTATCGTCTGGACATCTCTGAGCCCCAATGCCGAAGGTGAGAAAGAAGATGCAGTTCATGGCCTCTTCATCGTGACTCGTCGGTTCCCCACGGAGCCACTTTTCCAGATCATTCAAGAGCTCTGCTTCGTCAAATACCTCGAGTATGCAGTTGGTCGCCCGCAAGTACCACCGGAGTAGGTACCTTGCCTGTTCGGGGCTGGGCTTTGCTGGGATATCTGCTGGGTTGGTGATGATCCATTTCGGGCGTCCTTCTGGAGTTGCCTCAACCATGAGGTGTCGCAGGGGATCATCTGTGAACGGGCACGACCCGACGCGGTCGCGGACCAGCCGGCGGATGACTTTCAGGAAGGCCAGGTTGGCGGCATCGCCGATGAACATGAAGCGGCCGCGGCCATCGCCAATGAGCCGTGAGATCTGCGGTACCACCGTGTTGGGCGAGAGATGACACACTTGCGAAGATGCGCGTCGGTGGTGGTGGTTCGGCGAGACACCGTGGGCTTCTTGGAAAGAGGCCGTTGAGCCATATGAATGGAAGATGTCTCCTCGACTTGCCGGGCTTCCGTCAATAGCCACGCGCTGCTGCTGCGTCGGAGGAGGACTCCTCGCCGATGAAGCTGAGCTCTCGGGCGGGAAGGTTGTTGTTGTCGTCGGACCGCTGAAGGAACAGTCGCTCTCGACTCTGCGGATAACGCACCGCCTGCAGGGCTGCTGGCCGTCGCAGCGCTCTTTCCGCCGCTTGCAGTTGCCGCAGGCTTTGACGCATCTGCGCCGTTCGCTCTGTCGGACCCTTTTCGTCGGCATTGTCTGGATACTGAAATCTTACCCAAAACCCTTAATCTTCTCGTCCTTCTTTCGAACTGAACTCCTTGTGAAACGCAAATCGTGCGCTGGGTTGGTTGGTTGGCTACAGCAACGGCGAAAACGGGAACGCGTGGCAAAGAGGGAAAAAATTACCGCTATGATTTCTTGGTGTCAAACAGCCAGCCCAGCCTGCTGCTGCAGTGCCAAAATCCGGGGCAAACTCGCTGCGGCACAGCAGCCTCATCTCCTGCGGGGGAACGCTTTTCCAGGGGGCTCCCAGGTCATCAATTTCCCCAGATTTTGCGCCCCTCCACGGCGCGGCATGCCGGGCAACTTGATAGCCATGACGGGGCCAGGGGGGGGTAGCAACTCAGAAGCAATGGGGGAAGGTGTAGAAAGGGACGGTCCAATGAGCTAGTCCATTTTGACATCTGTCGTGACAGCATTGGTTGTGCTTCTTTCTTGAAGAATCGGGCTTTGGGGCGGGATCGTCGGACGCTTAGCTCGGCACACAGCAGAGTGCTGTATCCGCGGCTCTCAATGCAAGATACAGCTAGGGTATCACAGACTATTGGCCAAGACGGACGACCAATCGCCACTAGCCATTTCAAAGAGGAAACAGTTGTTGAATGTCTTGTGTAATGCTCTCTTTTTTATCTCCTCTGCCCGCCCACTTCAAAACCTCAACCTCAACCAAGTCTTGGCTTCTCAGTCGCTCCATGATGGGCTTTCCCCGCAGTATCGGCATGACGGCAATGAGGTCGAAGACGATCAACATGAAAAGTGACAGCAAAGGCGGAGCGGTGAATAATTGACCGAGCAAGGAAGGACACAGGTCCTTGTCTCTCTGGACACCACTTCGCAAGAAAAGCAGATAGCAAAGTGGTAGTCGCCATGTCCAATAAGCACGAGACGCCGAGGCCCTTATCCGACGTGTCAAGCCCTCATCCGACAGCCCTCTCAAAGCCGAGAAAACCCCCATGTCCGAGCACGCCCAACCACCCAAGTCAGCGCCCCCCAAACTAGACCCGCAGTAGCGCTCATAGCGAAGACCCGGATTCCGACGACATCGGAAGCCGGGTCCTTTGGAAGCTCTTCCCGAAGGGCAATTGCGTTGCTTTCATTGGAAGCGCAGCAATGGCCACCCGATACCCGATTACGGGTCCGACGTTTCGATGTTCGTCGCTGTGACACTGGGCCACGAATCGGACGGAGGAAAGAACGAGAGCGAACGGATTATTGGCTCCTGGGACGAAGGCAAATCCCAAACTCGACCAAGGAAGAATGGATGCTCCTCTCCGAGGGTTGATGGAGCTGAAGGTGTGATAGTCACGAGGCGCAAAGACGTGAAGTGCGGGTACGGGACGGTACTACATGAACGCACCCCGGCCGGCGTCTCTTATCACTTGTGTTAGCTGGATTTCCTGCCCAGCTAGGGGTTTTGACGTCCTTTTGCATCGACAAAAACTCATCATGGCCGAGAAAGCATATTCAGCCGTCGCCGAAACGAAGCGCATTCTGGACTTTGTCCTCGGCACCGTGCAGATACCTGCTGAAGCTGAGAAAATCACCAAAAATGTGCAGCTCACTGCGACTCGCGACCTGCCGTACTTTGCTATTCCCTTTAAGGAAACGGAGTTGGCCTCAGCTTTGAAGGCCATTGAGGGTGGTGTTGCTGGAGCGCTTGCAGCTACCAAGTTTGGAACCAACACTGAGCCAACGGTCACAGTGAGCTTGGAGAAGAGCACTGCGTTCTTGATTCAGGCGTATCTGGCGACTGTTGGCGGCTATGGGAAGCTGGACAAAGAGGTCAAGAAGATGCTGAAAGGTGAGCTCACAATCATGGTTCTCACCACTCGGCGGATCAAGTAGATCTAACTGTCCCAGACACGGACTTGCTGAAAGCGCAGTCCGATCCGTACCGTCGCATGTCGGCAAACTTGTACGAGACTAAGCAAAGAGGAGAGTACTACCACATTCACGGATCACTCGAGGCGTCAACGACTCTTGGCATGATAGGCTTGGAGCCGTTCAGACCGGACCTGAAGGATGATCATGACGCAATTGTCGATGCAATTGAATCTCATGTAAAGAATTACACCACTGAAGAGCTGGAGCGCATGAATGCAGAGAAACGCCAGGCTGGCGTACCCGTACTCAAGCATGAAGACTTCCTCCGCACACCTCATGTAAGTCAATCTCACATATCATATTCCCCATCTGATATTGACGGTTTTCCTTATAGGGCAAGACGAACGTCAGCCTCCCTCCTTGGACCGTTGACAACCTGGAGAACTCAACACCTCCAACGCCGCTACCTAGCACATCGGACAAGCGCATCCTGTCCGGTGTCAAAGTGCTTGAGCTATGTCGCATCATCGCTGGGCCGGTAATCGGACGTATCTTGGGCGAGTATGGCGCGGATGTATTGAAAATTACGAGCCCCAACCTCAGCGATGTCCCATTTTTCCAGGTTGATGGCAACATGGGAAAGCATGCCGCCGACCTGGATCTCAAGACGCCAGAGGGAAGAAAGCAGTTTGAAGCCCTGCTAGCAGAAGCGGATGTCGTTCTTGACGGGTATCGGCCTGGTGCCTTGGAAAAGCTCGGTTACGGCGCGACTGCTCTGACGAAACTCGCCAAGGACCGCGGAAAGGGTATCGTCTACGTCAACGAAAACTGCTTCGGGTATCAGGGCGAGTGGGCTTCACGGCCTGGATGGCAACAGATTGCCGACTGCGTCAGTTCAGTCCCTCGCTATTTTCAATTATCAGCTAACATGATCACAGGTCAGCGGTGTGGCGTGGGCGCAAGGCCGTTTCATGGGGCTGGATGAGCCGGTTGTTCCCCCTTTCCCCATTTCTGATTACGGAACGGGCTGCATGGGTGCCATTGCGGCTCTAACCGGTCTCTACAACAGAGCTACCAAGGGTGGCTCGTGGCACGGCAAAGCATCTCTCCTGCAATACGATCTGCTCCTCATCAAAGTCGGACAGTACCCAGAAGAAGTCAGGCGCGAGCTGTTGAAGTTGGCGGGCGACGACTTCCTCGCTCTGAGACACAGTCACAGCGTCGATCAAATCTCAGGCACGGCACTAAAAGCCATGAAGCGCTATGCGCCGGAGCTTTTCAGCTCGAAGGAGATTCGCGAAAAGTGGTACTCAAAGGGATACAAGGCAGAGGTTGAGGCCGTGAGACCCGTGGTCAAGATTGACGGCATCGATATTGGATTCAAGAGAGCGAGCAGGCCAAACGGCACAGATCCAGCAAGTTGGGATTTCGGACCGGAAGAGGATCATCTGATAGAAGGTCACACCAACGGTATCAACGGCACGAATGGCGTTGTGAAAGGTTGAGCTTTGTACACCGTAGACGACTTGTGGACCCTCAATCATGATAGACTAATTCTCGTGTAACTTTCTCAATGCCTTATCGCAACTACAACTCAATGCACGTTAGATAGAAGCATTTCAATCGAAAAGCAGCCAGATTCAATCATCAAGATACCATGCTGGGCGACCAATATTCAAAGCGACGTGACAGAACAGGGTCCAAGATAGCCCCGCCCATACCCGCCGGTGCATTTCCCGACGCGAAGCCGACCGTTTCGGGGACATGCCAACGCACCAAAGCAACACAGAGACATGAAGTCACAGTCACGACTAGCAGCGGACCGCCACCAGCACCATCCCCATCCGCGCGCGAATCTCCACAAAGATAACCCAAAGTGCGGGGGCCCCAGTCCACGAAGCACCGGGCCACGGGCGTCGTCAGGCCAGACTCGCCAGAAAATGGGAGATCTCGGCAGATGCCCCTTGCGTCGGATCCTCTTCCCCGTACCCGAAATGGGAATACCACCCCGGAACCGGGGGGCGTATCCGGCCCAAATGCGAACAGAGGAGTCGACGGCCGGCAGTACCCGCCGGGCACGTGCAATCAACTGACAAAGCAGGAAAAATGGCGAGTAATACACGAACGATGATTGGGATAAGTATCTTTCCCTCCAACTGCGGGACGGAGAACAAAGACCACCTGTGGCGTAACTTAATTCGTCTTAAGTAGCCTGTCTGCGAACCATCCTCGACCTGCTCATCGCCCGGCTTCACCATCTCGCAGTTTTGTCGTGAAAGAAAAAACACACTCAATACTATCAATCATGGGCTCGTTACAGAACAAAGATGTCGGTCTCGGCCAAGACTTCACGAAGCAGGTCATTGCCTCCATGGGCAAGGAGACCGACCCCAGGCTCCGTGTCATTCTCACTTCCTTCATTCAGCACATCCACGACTTTGCGCGCGAGGTCGACCTCACCACGGATGAGTGGATGATGGGTGTCAACATGATCAACTGGGCGGGCCAGATGAGCAACGACCGTCGCAATGAGGGCCAGCTCCTGTGCGACGTTATTGGACTCGAATCGTATGTATTACAAACACAGAAAATACCAAGTTGAGTGAGACTGACGCCGGAAACAGGCTTGTTGATGATATCACAAACCAGGTGGCGACGAGGAACGGCCAGCCCGGCACCGCGACGGCTATCCTCGGCCCCTTCTGGCGCGCCGACACTCCCGTTCGCAGCAACGGCAGCACGATCGTGCTCAAGGTCCCAGAGGACGGTCAAGTTGCGTGGATGTACGGTCAAGTAACATGCTCCAACACCGGAAAGCCGTTGGCCAACGCGTCGGTTGATGTCTGGCAAGCCTCAACAAATGGTATGGAACCCCTGAATTTGCAGATGCAGGGGCCTCGATCTGATTTGCCTTTTTAGGTTTGTACGAGCAACAAGATGCCGATCAGCCTGAACACAACCTGCGTGGTGTGTTCAAGACTGACTCGGAGGGCCGCTATGGCTTCTACTGCCTGCGACCCACCCCCTATCCCGTGAGTATTGACGCTGAAAAGCCGTGAACGATTTCCTTGCTGACATGATGCAAAGGTTCCCGACGATGGCCCAGCTGGCAAGCTGCTGGGACTCCTTCACCGCCACCCATACAGACCGGCTCACATTCACCTGATTGTAAGATTCCCCTTGGCTCATGTTGCGGCAGAAACATCCATCCTAACAGCTCCACAGGTCCGCTCAGAGAGCTTCCAGTCTGTCACGACACAAATTTTTGACGAGGACTCCAAGTACCTCGAGGATGACTCTGTTTTCGCGGTGAAGGATGGCCTTACCGTGAGGTTCTTGGAAAGGAAAGGCGATGCTAAGGCTCCCTGGGAGCTTGAGTACAATATCAAGTTGGTCCCCAAGTAAATAGCATGATGGAACGGCGTTATTATCCTTGGCGTTTGGCGGCTTAATGAGATAAAGATTGATATCCACTTGGTAACTGACAGCTGGGACCTGTGCGTGATTGCTACATGAGTGTTTAGGGACGATGGGGTTTTACAGCTGCTGCATGCCTTCCATGGGTAAACCGTCTTTCGAAAGGAGAGGCAGAAAAGCTCCCACAGCGCAACCTACTATTATTGAGAGCTTTCGGAGGTCTCGAAGAGGCTATGAATCATTTGCGCTTCCCCCGGATTCACTATGCCATGCGCGGTGTTGGGCACGACGAGTCTTCGGACATGAGATGAGGCCTAAGACAAAGTTGACTTCATGTTTTCTGCTAATCACTGATCATGTCTATTGCTCACCATGTTCCTCATACAGTCATAAGATCCTATAAAAGATTCGCGTTCCCATTTGGAAACTTACTTACGATTTATCACAGCAGCAAACACCAGAAACCACCGCATCGACATTTACAACTTGCCACCTTCCACGCTCAAAATAGCAATCATGGCCGTCCCTTCTCCTCGCCCTATTCCCCCCGCTCCTCGCCCTCCCCCTAACACTCCCAGCGGTGGCAGCCCAGCCAAATAATAAACCAATTGCTTACGGATGCACCAAGGCAAGATCAAGACACAAGGTTTCGAGCACGCGGCGTATGACTCACTAAGTCTCTCAAACGCTTCGCATTACCGGACACATTAGAATAGTAATACAGTCTCTGATCAGAGCAAGTCCCTCAGGGCTTTTCATTTCATACTCGCTCGTCATTCAACTATGTGCAACACCAGCATCTGAACTTTCGAGCTTCCAAGATACCTAAGGAAAACATTACACAGAGAAAGCCGAAGTGATAAAACACAATCAATGCAATCATCCACAAAAAATAATCGAGTACTTAACATGTCTAGCTTCAGTGTAGATCAACCTGATGGGTGCTCAATGCCGAAGATCTACTCCAGGACCTTAGCTGTTTTCCAAAAAGATATTATTTCGATGATAATCTCTTTCAGTCATGGAAAAGTTGTCCGCACATGTTTTCGGTAGCTTGAAGGATGCTCGTTGACTTTTAGAAAGGCAGATAGAAAGTTCCATCCATGTCCGGTCCCTGTGGAAAACCTCTCTTTACATGATGCTATCTTTCAAACTTGGGAGGCTACCCACTCTCAGGCAAACCATCTTTGATCAATTTCCTCCGGAGTAGTCCTCACTTTCCCAGGAAGGCCAAGCCGGAGCAGGGCTCTTGCTACCAGAACAGTTCGAGTAGAAGACTGGATTCTCAGGCTCCACGTCCTCGTCTAAGCCAACAGGATACGTTGGGAAGATTCCCACGAAGAATTCGCTACGTCCCCTCCCATGAGACCAGAACATGCGGAAAGGTATGTACTCCGAGGCGTCGTTGAAATAAACGAAATAGCGATAGGGCCACCCATTATCGTTTGGTACAATGATATCGGCGTTACTGACGTTGAATGCCCCAGATTTGGCCTTGTCGCCGAACCACACAAAAAGGACATCCTCGCGTGGGGGTTCGCTAATGAGAAACTCGTAAGCGCCGGGCAGAGTGGCTTTAATATAACCGCGGTGTACAAGGATGTTGCACTTCAGGCTGGATCCAGGGGGACCTTGGACGCCGCCATAGTTGATAGGCAAGCTGTCATCCTGCTGTTCAAATTCAATATACCGCGTGGTGCCGACACCCATAGGATGTCGGCCTTGGAGGAGACCTTCAATGTCGTAGTTCTCAGGCCCGAAGTATGGGTCTAGGAGCATATTCTGGCACAGGTCCGACTCCTCTTCGATAATATGGAGCGCGAACTCTGCGCCGATTGTACACGATGGAGAGGGAGAATCGGACGTGGGGGTTGCGGTCGTTGTGACAAGAGGCGTGCTGATAATCTGTGAAGATGGGATGCTGCTGGTCGTTGTTTCCACTCCCGCCACTATAGTGATGGTGGTGGCCTTGATCCCGGTGAAGCATTGGCAGGCGGACCAGTAGGCGGTTGGATCGGGACAAGCGCGGGCATAAGTAGGCTTGGTACCCGTGACAATCGGCACCGAGGGTTCTTCGCGCGATTGCGGTGTGTCGGTGGGTGGTCTGATACGTGTCAGTCGATGATTTTCATGTTCGCAAGAAGTGACACAATGCATACCCACGTGCGACTGTGACATATGTAGTCACAAACTCTGAACACAGAGATGATCTTGAAGAGAGAGGAGGGTCTCGTCGTCCTGTTCCGGCGACTTGCCGACCGCAGTTATTGTTGCAGCTTGCAGCGAGCACCAGCGCGGGCGCAACGTAAAATATGCTTAGAAATGTGGAAAAATTCATTTCGATGGAAGTGGATTGGCCCCTGGTGGTAAAATCTGAGCTTCACTGTGATATCGAGGAACAGAGAACGCGGCCGAAGTTGTGAGGGCAATCTTGGGCTTAAGTGCCGAATATCTACAGCTTCATCAGAATTACGCAGCGTATTTAGACCATCACGAGATGACTTATGTCTCAGCGCGTCGCATACAGTGGTGGTGTCTTAACCTCATTTCCCCAAGACAACGGCTTGACCGCGTGATGTTGTGCTGCCAATGTTGACAACGCGGGGCATTAACTCAGCTGTAAGGGATCCGTATACGAGGTCTCGGTGTGTGGAGGAAAAGAGGCTGAGATGTTGTTTTTATTCCCAAGCCACTCAGCTCTACATCCAATGGTGGCTGATGAAGGGGGAGCTGCGCTGAGTGCACCACTATTCCTATGTTGGCTGCGGCTGAACAAAACTGCAGCTCAGTGTCTTCAAGTCAGATACACGACGCAGGCAGTCTGAGAGGCGCAATTGGCTTTGGCATTGTTTCTTCCTAAGACTTGTCTGATCAATCAAAATGCTATATGCTTACTAATCCTTTTTTCTAGGTCCAATCTCTGAACTGCTCTGGGATCGTGAAGGATCAACCTAGAATGCGCAGCAGACCAGAAATGAGCCCCGAGGCTGCTGCAATTAGAGCCACCAACGTTATTCCAAGTTGGGTGGGTTGCGGTGTCGAGATGCCGTCAACGGCGGAGGTGGCCGCCGCAGTTGGGGAACGCTTGTTTGAGTGCCTCCAATTGCACCGACGCAGACGTTGCCATTGGTCCAAAGGCCGTCGCAGGTCGCGAAATTCAACGACCCGGGTTCTCCTCTCCTGGTCAACGATCCATGGTACTAAAATGGCATGGCGTGGGCATCGATTCGGCGAGATACCTTCTGTCTCATCCTCTTGCCGTGACCCACAATCATGTTCTTCCGTGCTGAAGTGACGGTGACGTCACTTTTCGGAAAAGAATGGCTTCGACATTGTGGATGAACGAAATCAGTCGCGGCGTGCGACGCCAGAGGAATTGCAAGAATATCCCAGGATCTTGCCTCATCGCTCACTTAACTGCATTGACGAGAAGGCGACTCTAGGGCTTGATGTTGAAGCAAATCCCATGCCGACCTCCCTTGAAGCCGTGGCGACGGTAGTTGATCCGATGGAAAATCAGATCGGAGCCGCTGAGCAAAATCTTTGGTCCATGATTGGTAGAAGCTTGCAGGAGAGTCTCCCATCAGCAACGGCGACACCGGTGCTATCTCCAAGAGCATAAGTATGTTTGACTTAGTGAGAAAGGGTTGATGTATTCGAGCTTTGTATGTACTGGAGCCGATACAGTGGCGTTCTACAAGATGAGTAGTCGCTGGAATCAACACATTGAGAGATCGCAAGCACTCTGTATGAATATCTCACCATACTTCTATGACAGATCCAAACAAACATCCGGAATAAGGTCCGGATCCTCCCTCCACTTAGAAAGAAGCTCTTGTCTGTCTCGTCCAAACTTATGCGAATCGAATCCTTCTTCATAACGCTCCTCGACTTCGCCTGCGGCACGATAAACCTGCTCAGAGTCACGCGCCCAGTCCTGTTCGCGGAACTCAGCTGGCCAGCCGTAACGTCTCAGGGCCTTGCCAATCACCTGGCCAAGAATTTCCTATCGACAACTTGTCAGTCTAAAAAACCTCGGAGCTTGGAATTAGGCGATTGCGTTGAGCTTACAGATGAAGTGCTCCAGTACTCGCCTTGACTTGAGACCGGAACTAGTTCAAGATCGACTACGTCCTGAATCCACGTCCGCAGGACAGTTGGCGCATGGTACATGGGCCAGTTTCTGTGGTGATCCGGGTCGTCTGGTCGTTCAACCGGGTAGTCCTGGGGAGGGCCACCCGGAGCCCCTCTGACTGGAGCTTCGAGAGGCCCATAGACGAATCTAAAGGCGTCTTTAATCAATATCCCCATCAGCTCAACTGTTCGAAATCTACGGAAGGCGGTACTCAGGGCCAGAAAAGACTGAGACTTGGGTTAAAAGAAGATAAGATACATACTGTAACTTAGATCCAGGATCCAGGCAAGACCATCACTCTCATCAGGGCGGGCTAAGGCGACGTCTTGAGGCAGGAGATAGCTGGCATCATTCATGCCACCAGGTTGGGCAGAAAACTGCGCCATTTCGTGCGGATCGCGACAATCTCTTACATCATCCTCCTCCAAGTAATTCATGGCGTCGGCCTCGCGATAAATGCGCATGCGCCGATACGATGCGATTCGGGGGTAAGGCAGCCGCTCAAGGAGTGAGACAGCCTCCGGGCTCATCCCCTTCTCGTTCAACAAACGCTGGGTGTCTAGCTGAGCGTGCCTTCCCGTGTCTTCTTGCGGGAATATGATATCCTCGCGTTTCCAAAAGTTAAGCCTCAGTAGCATGGCGTACATGTCGCACCAGAGGGAGACAAATTCGTCCTCCCGGAAGGCTGCCGCAGAGCCCGCAGCAGGCTGCGTCCAGACTAGTGGTGCCATTTTGGTTAGAAGCGTCATTATGGGTGGGCTATTGCTTGTATGTGACGTTGTTGTAGATAGTCTACGTGAGGCTGTCAATGAGCAAAGAGGGGTTGAAGAAAAGTAGATTCAGGATGCCGACAACCAACAGACTTGGAATGAACGATTGGCGGACTTCAGGGCGTTAGTCAGCTGGCGCCAAGCGCAAAACATCTCTCAGCTGGATACCAAGCCCGTTATCTTCAGCCTGGGCTTAGAATGCCATGCATTGCTCTCGCGATTTCAGGCCAGACGGCATCAGAGTGCAAGAACTTGGATGTTTCAGAGAGAGTCCCAGGGTTCTTGTGTCTAGTTTCGGGTTCCGAATTACGAAGGGGTGGACGCAGGCTGGCATCATATAGACTCGTAGCATATGCTCCTCGGAGACAACCTGAGCGTTCATGGACACCGCAGTATTTGACGCTGACAGCGCTGCCTAATTCGACTCCGAGAGCATCATCCAGCATCAGTATGTCTTACTACACTTCAAACCCGGAGACTGGTAGTGTCTAATAGCAGCGAAAAAGACGAGTGCGCCAACCTTGTAAACACGAAGTCAGCAATGCTTGTCAATAAAAATGAGTCAATCCGTAGCTCCATACGTGACAGTTGGATCGTGATAGCCATTGGTCTCGCCAGCCCTTCGATAAGAGTACTTCAGCGGGATCGCAAGTAGTACCCACAACTAAAGCAAAAAACGAGGTTGATTTCAGGCAAGACGACGTGGTGGCCAATTCTCTCCTAACCTCTATAATCAGTGCGGGGAGAAAATTGATATTATTGCAGACGGCAAACCCCAAGTGGAAGCCTTCTTATGAATGACTCACATAGAGACCAGTGTGGTCTAGCATGAAGCGGTACATGCCAAATCTCCGCGGACGGTACGCACTCTTACTCCACACCGTCAAGTCAGTCAGGCCAATCTACTCTCATGAGATCATGCAAGTTTACCGGCGATAGGACAGCATCGGTTTGGATGCGACGAACCAGACGCGATCTCGAAATGCGACATTCTGTTTGTTCCGGTAATACCTACCCAGTGGGTATTGCGAAGTTCCAACACGTCGTTGCAATGTATCTTGGGATACCAAAGAGACCCGGCTTTTTTCCAGCTCCTGTCTCATCTCAAGATTAGCAACGCAAGGTATTACTTGCAAGAATCCAGAATGATTGTTATAATGTATCTTCGGTAGCATAATTAAGGACTATGTTTTGCTTCTCCGCTCCTCTAACTATCTCGCAATGCCTTTTAGTCAGTTGTGGTAGAGTTTCTTTCAAGGCACTTTTTTTACAGTTTCGGGCCCCATTTCCTCGAATAATAGCCTGCTTTCCTTGTTAGGAGATATTTCACCGAAGTTTCGGGGAGGCGGAACCGCGAACTCCGTGACTTCAACCTATGTCATGCGGAACAGACCTAGGTCATCATGCGCAATACGCCGTTAGGAGCATAAATACCAGTGACTCGGTATTACCCTGTGCAAGAGCTCAACGGTCGTCCGGCTGCATATCCACTGCGCTTTGCAACGATCTACATATCATACTACACTGTACACATCGAAATCATGCGCATTACTTCCTTGCTATTCGCCTCGATGGCAGCCGCCACAACTTTATTCTGTAACGGTGGCACTGAGGGCAACGGAGATTGCGAGAACAATAAGCTGCATACTTACTGCGTAGGTCTCGGGGATGCATCATCCTGCTTCTTTTGTTAACATTTCTCGGCAGTGCAGTGATGTAAACGAGGCTCCTTACGTCAACGCGAGAGAGGTCACGGTGAAGTCCGAAGACCGCAAAGGTCGGGATGTTTGCACGCCCTCAGGCACTCTGAGAGTCGGAAGGGTGTTTCGTGCGCCATAGATGGTTGTGGGTCCTGAATATACATGGGAATTTGCTCTCGCAGTCTGATGGTGATGAAGCCACAGCCGGTTCACATATTTGCGCCCCTGCTTGAATATCTTGCAACTGCATTCGATTCAATAGCCTCTGTCGAGTAATTCTTCTTATTCTAGAGCTTCTTCAATATCCGCGTTGTTTTCATCAGGTTTGATTCGCGATTTCATCAGCGTTCGTGGCAATAAAGTACTATTGATGCTAAGTTTAACACCAGGCAGACCAGCCTAGGAACAACGGCGTAGAAATCAAGCCGAGTCGTGAAGAACTGAAGATCCCGTGCATGAACGCTAGGATAATGGCTATGGTAACAGACATCCCCTCTCCCTTTCGTCTACGCAGGGACGCAGGCGAAGCTGGTGAGACCGTAGAAACCGCACTTATCCGTCGTCGTCTTCCACGAGAAGCAGTCTCCACAAACGCGGTCGACGGTGACCCTGCAAAGCGATGATTGACCCTCGCCGTTGGAGCCCTTCCAGTCGGAAGACGTCAGGCCGCGGTCGGCTCCCGAGATGCGGGCCGAGACGGTGGAGCCAAGGCTCGCCGGGTTGGCGAACTTGTCAAATTTGCTGAGGTGTGTTAGCACCATTTTTCTTAGCCAGTGATTGTAGTGTAGAGAAGCTTACGCTGAGCACTGGCAGTCTTTGGCGGCGGTACCGCAGTTGCCGCGAGCGACAAGCTCAGCGTGCTCGGCAGGCTGAGCGCTGGGGGCAGCGTAGGCGCTGAAAGCGAGGGCAAAGACGACGGGAACAATGGAGAACTTCATTTTGAAAGACTCTAAATTGGAAAGATGACTAAAGAATGGATACGGTTGGATGAACTTGAAAGAGTGTGATGGTGTTGCAGGCTAGAGCGACGATCAACAGCAAGGAACAACGCCAGCGACAACACCGAGTATTTAATGCTCTACTCATCCCCAGGCTAAGCATTGGCTCGTGTGCATGATTGACAACACGCCGCCGAGCTTCCGGGCAGCCTTTTCCAGAAGAGTGAAATGAGACGAACTAGCAAGATTAACCTTTGGGAGAAATGGATGGTTGAAGCTCGTCTCATGTCTTCGGGAGGCCCAGCAATTTCCTCGTGAGGCGCGTTGAGACGAATGGGACCCGTGCTCTCTTATTATCAACTGAACGATAATAGATTAATTTGTCTTGAATCTGAGTTCTCAGCGCGCAAGTTGCGAGGCTTGGTGCTTGTGTTTTGTCTCAAAACGAGTCATGGTCAACGAAGCACGGTTCTGATAGAGACCCGGGTTTTGGGAATGCCGCGAGAGCGGAGCGCCCTTTCATGGAGACTTGAGCAGAATATTTGGATCATTGGCTATTGAACTTCGAAATTGGTTTCTTGAGACTTTCGCTCGCGGGCTGGCCGCCCACCTTCGGAACATCAGTTTCTCTTGACCATCTCCTTTGTGATTGGAGGATTTTGGTGCAAGACTTCCAGGCCGAAGTTCCAGGCCAAATTGAATAGTCCCCCTGCCTCTCGCTCTACGGCTTGATCCGAATGGCGAACCATCTTTATCTGATAATCGCTTTTTCTACCAGCCCACCGGTTACCGGCAACGTTAAAGTAGTCACGTAGGGCACAAGTGCCACGCCGTTGATTGCCACGAGTAGTGGCTCCTGACCCTGCACGCCACACCCGTCCCGACCGCCGAGGTAGGGGTTCCAGTCCGCGCGGGGCTTTTCTTCGCGGAACCTTTCACTTTTCGACGAAGTTGGCGTTTGCAAACCCGAATCCGCAGTAGGCCAACAACAGCCGGTGAGATCTAGTAATCAATCTTCCCCCGCAGTTGACGACTCTTCCCCGCACATCCGATACCATGTAAACCTTGAGCTCAGCTTAAGAGAGCTCATCGAACAGAATCGTCTTCGGACTTCTACGTGTCAGTTTGTCAAGTGTTTCTTGCGTATTTGTGCCCAGTGTTAGTGTTTTCGATGATACGTCAAAATGTTTTGTATTTTCGGCAGGAGTCTCCTAGCTGACCGGGCAAAGTGCTATCCGCCACTCTCGTCGCGAACGGCGTCCTTGTAGCCCGCATTATCCAGAGCCTATTCATCCGCATAGCAACGTAAGTTGAAATCGCGGCATAGAAATCATGGCAATGCAGAAGAACACCCATGGGGATGTGCGAGAACTCGATGACATCCGGAAATATTGGTGGGATCCATGATGAGTCCACTCGGAGCCCCACCATGAGGGGACTTAGTTGAAACAATCGCCGATTTCTCGGAACTGTTCCTCCACCATCTCTCAAATTGAGCTGTTCAATAAACGTCATTGTGATGAAATATTCTTTTTTAATAATTATTCATTATATATAAGCCTTCCTCTCTCACGAAGAAAGCCAAAGCAACCACCACTTATTAGGCCTTCTCGCCCTTGATGACCTTATTGCGGCCGATGCCAACCATCTGCAGCATCTCCCTCCAGAAGGTGGTCGGGGGCTCGCGCGTCATCAGATGGTCCTCGTACGCCTCAATGATGGGGCGGTCCCATTGCAGGTCGAGCACCTCGGGCCTGACGTACTTGGTGCGCTTGACAACCTTCCAGACGATGAACAGAATCGGCGCGACAATCTGCATCGTGTAGTTCGAGAAGAAGTCACCGACGCTGAAGGTGGGGCGGAAAGCGGACCATCCGTACGTAAGAACAACGATTGTCTGCAGGATCAGGGCGATCCACGCGCCGTAGGGCTGGAACCAGCCGCAGTACGGCAAGCTGCGGCGGTCGAAGTTCTGCACCTTGCACGCGCGGTAGAAGTTCAGGAAGGTGATGGACATGACGAGGTAGTTGATGACGCCGCCGCCGGTGATGAGCGCGAGCAGCCAGTTGAGCACCTTGGCGGAGCCGCTGCCGCACTGCAGGAACGAGAGCATGGGGAAGATCATGGTGAAGGCGAAGCACCAGATGGGCACGCCGTTCTTGGTGGTCTTGCGGAACACGGCCGGGGCGCGGCCGTCCATGGCCAGACTGTACAGGGACCGCGTGGCGCAGTAGGTGTACGTGTTGCCCGCGGAGAAGATGGTGGTGAAGAGCAGGGCATTGACCAGGTGGGGGAGACCCTGGATCCCCAGGTTCTCCATCGCCATGACCCAGGGGGAGGCCGCGGCCGTGCCGCCGCTGGCGGTGCCGTCGATGTAGATCTTAACGAGGGTCGGGTCGTTGTACGGGACCACGATGCCGCAGGTCAGCGCGGCGCCGACGAAGAAGAGGCCGAAGCGGAGGTAGACCGTCTTGAACGCGGACTTGATGTAGAGCGAGGGATGCTTGGCCTCGGCGGCGATCATCGAAATGTAGTCGGGGCCGACAACGGTGAACGTGGCAGTGGCCAGAGCACCCATGAAGCCCTCCATGCGACCCGTGTCACCGGAAGTCATGTACGTCGCGAACGCCCCGGGATTCGAAAAGTGACGGAACCCGTACGCGTCGTGGGCCGGGTTTCCACCGACCATGGTGATGAATGTGAAGAGGAACAGGATGAAGATGAGCAGGACCTTGCCGCCGGAGAGCCAGAACTCAGCTTCACCGAACACGCCCACGGCAGCCACATTCATGAGACTAAAATCACACAATCGGCGTTTAGCATGCATACACAACACGTCATGGGGTGAAAGAGAAAAGCAAAGAAAGAGAGTCTTGAAGCGAGTGTCACGCGAGGGGCACAGAGAGCTCTAGAGTGTCCGGTCGGTCTAGTCGCTTTCGCTTGGCCCTGGCAGGAGGAGAAAAGAAGGTCAACAATCCCACAGGACCCGAGGTGACTTACCCGTATGCAATAATGATGGCAGCGCAGATACCCGCCGTCGGACCAGGCTCAGTAACCTTCTCGTTCCAGAATGAAAGTACAAGATTGAGCGCGGTGATTTCGAACGGGATCAGGAGTGCCTCGTAGAGGAAGTAGTTCCAGCCAACCATGAAGCCGAGAGCCTCGTCAACCCAGACACCAGCGAGACGGATGAAGCCGCCGGAGACGGGCATGTAGGTGCTCATCTCAGCGATGGAGTTGTTGACCAGGGCGACGACGCAGGCGTAGAGGGTGTATGCGATCAAAAGCGAGGCGGGGCCGCCCTTGGCGAGACCTCCACCGATGGTGACGAACAGGCCGGTTCCGATGGTGCCCCCGATGGCGATGAGCTGGATCTGGCGGTTGTCGAGACGGCGCTGCAGACCGTCGGAGTTGTGCCGGACAGAGGAGCCGTAGCTGTCGAGAGAGACCCTCTGAGCGCCGGCAGACCCTTCCGGGCCCTTGAGCTCTTCTTGCGCCATGGCGTATGGGGGAAGTGAATCTAATCAACCGGGCGGTCGGGCTGGTTTAGATTCTTCCCGCGATCGTGGTAGTGACAGTGAGACTGAAGAAAGCCACAGATTGCATGTGGAGGAGCTTGAGGGGCGGTTCGCGGGGGAAGCTTGGGGAATCGCGAAAAGGAAGGGGGATGACAGGAAAAGGGAAGAACAGGAAATGCGCAAAGCAGATCTCGATGGGAAAAGGGTTTTGTTTTAAGAGAGCACCGCCGATCGGGTTGGGGGCGGCGCAGAATTTTTGACAGGAAAGGCAAAAAAACTTTCAACGCGCCCAACGTGTCTGTCCGCCACACTCACTCACACACATACCAGCACGGCGCAAGCAAATTCGTGCGTCCTGGGCGTTCCTCGTTGCTGCATCAGAGATTCAGGGACAGGCTACAGCCACGAGTACCCATACAAACATCCATGGGGACGTTAGATGTTCTGTGTGGAGTTGACGGGGACAGTCCCTGACTCTGCCCAGGGCTGCCCCATCCCAATCCTTCGGCGCGCGCAGGGCTAGGGGAGAATATTTCCGCAATGTCGTCATACCTTGCCTTAGTGGCTTTACTGAAGACGGTGGTTATTGGCCAATGTCGGGGTCTCACAGGCAGTCCGTTCGCATGTGGCTTCGGGGGGGCTTTGTGTCTGAACATGGGACTTTTTATCAGTGACTAACTCGCTGAATGGGCTATCGCAGAGTCCGAACATGCGACAGGATGCTCATTGGCCGGGTGTCATCATTTATCTTGCAGGGACGAGTTTCCACGTCTGGCAAGCGTACGCGGGGTGTCAGGAGCAGATAATCTCCATAACGCTGCTCATCCCAACAGTGACTCCAATCTTTTTTGTGTTTCCGGCCTTCTGAAGGGACGAGTCTGTAGGGGTTCACTTTATGAGGGGAAGACACGCAGAGACAAGAAAAAAAAAGATGGGAACGGATGGAGATGGAGTCGGTGCCTCATGCTGCGCACCCTGGGAGGCAACCAATGAGGATTTTTCTGCCTCATCATCTCAGACCATCGTTCATGTCGGCGGCCAATGGCCAATGGGCTTCATCTTTCGGTGAGACTGTTAGGCTCTCCACCAGGAATCGCGCGAGCTTTTAGCGAGGCATGTTCAACGAATCCAAGGCCAGATGGCGACACGGCGACCCCGCTCTGTGTTGGCAGGTAATGAAAAAATAACGAAAAATTTGTCCAATTGTTGTCTAAACAAACCGCCGCGGCCAATCAGTGGTGCGCTGTTAAGAAGCTGCGGCAAATGTGTGAAATCCTAATGAGAGGCCCCAACCAAAGAGCGCCTCCAAAAGGCCATTCTTGTCCCACTTTATATGCAGCAGCCAGTCAATGCCCGACCATGGGATGTGGGCACTTTGTTCCAATCGAGGCAAAGGACAAAATGAGGGTGGAGCCGACTCTGAATCGGCGGCGTCGTCGTCGTTCCAGAGAGACAGCCGCTGTTCACAAGAGGCCTCTGGAGAGAGAGAGACAACATCAATCGAGACTCGTCGTTGAAAGAAGCTTATCAATTCTGCGGAAAGGTTCTTGACAAGAGTGATCAGCCTCCCTGAGTCTTTTGAGCCGCAACAATATTGGGTGTGCGTGCGCCTCCTTTTTGATTGGCAAGGTTGGCACAGCTCTGGGCGCGACGGCACTCATCGCTGCTGGCTGCTGCTACTCTCTCTTCTCTCACACACACTCTCTCCGCGCCTGCTGAATGGGCGATGGTGTTTCATTCAGATAGGCAGGACGGGCGCAACAACCATGTCAGACATTCCCGCCTGGCCAGTGCCAAGCGGTCTCTGGCACCCGTGTGGATAATGGCATGACGCCGAGTCTGGCGGCGTATCTGCTTCCGACCGCTTGATTGGAACGGGAGCGAACAAAGGCCCACGACGCCGTACGGCCCCAGTAGCAGCGGGACCGAAGCGGTGGGGGCAGCTCTCTCGGTCTTCCAATCTCTGCCGTTCAACCGCGATTCGTGGCCCTTGGCAGCCACTAGGACGTCTGGGGGGGCCTTGACGGCGCGCAATGGTTTGCTGCACGTTTTCTGCAAGGCTTCTGGGGGATGACGTAGTGAACGCGCTGTTGGCGACGAATAATGTTGCGCCCGGCTGGCAGGCCAGGCCTTGTCGATTGTCAGACGAGGAACTTCCGCAAAGGGATACGAAGGGTTTTTTTCCCCGTGTGTTCTCCCGCACGTCGGCTGGCCTCGGCTATGGTTTGCGAGAGGCCGAGGAGAGAGACAGGTCTCACCGTCTTATCTAATGCCAACGCCGCCACGGTCAATCCGAGTCGAAGGGATTGCATTCGGTCTGGGCTGTGTCGTTGCTGAGTACCGTTGCGGCAAATGATGGAGCATGGTGGTCAGCGGGTGTGTTGCTCAACATCGCCCCCAAACGCTATGGTTTTTTTCGCCGTCATTGCTCGGCAAAATGGCCACAACCACCTAATCCGAAATCTTTCAGACGGAACTGCAATCCGATGACCGCCCATTATTGACGTGATTCTCCAAAGGTTCTCAGGCGACGTGATCAAAACTTCCGGCTTGATCCCGGCTGCGGGCATGTCAAGCCGACCGACCCCATCATCAGCGTCCGAATCGAATTTTCCTACGGGATATCGTACCATGGGCTCTCGGCAGAATCCCGAGCGAAATAATTTGACAGCTGAATGCACTGTGCTGGCTCACATGGGTCATTCAATTCCACAATGAACGGGTGTTTCCGTCCGAAAACGCTGCTCAATACTCCGTCTTGATTGTTCTTACAATCCCCAACGTCGGAGTTGACTCCGATACGAGTACGATTAATTTGCCACCCAACTCCAACATACGCTCATGTCGCAGATTTGTTCTGAAAGATCCGCTGTGAGAGACTTCATTCATATGACATCAAGGGATGGGTATCAGCATATTAGTTACACAAGGTCTTTCTTTCAAGCACACACATGATGACGGAGATGTATACTGTTGAACGAAGGCCAAGGTGTATCAATGTCGGAGTTGACGCCATCCTGATGGCTTTGGAATGACAGCTGCGGGAGCTAGTCCAAATAAGTGCAGTCATCTTCGCGCAACGATTGCCCGCAAGGATTCTATCGAAGCGCCAGTGGCTGGATACCGCGCTTAAAGTATCGTAATAGACTTCCTGCCTACATGTTGGCGTGAGGTTGGCATAATTCTAGGGATCAGTTGAATCAATGGATAGACTTCTCTGCTTCAACGCTCAAACGACCCAGAGTTCGGTCTCTTTGACATCTTGCAACGTTGCGACTCCTCCGCCGTTGTCTAGTTCAGTCCTAGCAGCTAGGTCTTGTAGGCATTCATGAACTTAGTTGTGAAGTCTATACCGTCTTACTCAATAGATCGACGTCGATGAAGGAATAACGTCAGTTGCCGCACAGATTGCAACGCAAAGTTGCCATTTGATATGCAAGCAAGGATTAGCAATTACGTGCATGCATCTCCTTGCAAGACAATGGCAGTTCCCAATCCTACATGGTTACCTCGTCGCTGTTGCTGCATCTATACTCAATATAGTCGAAAAGTCTTCGTCAACTACCGCTTCATTTTGATTTGGCAGCATCTTGAACCGGGCCCACCGCAACAACAACAGCAAGTTTGCCGTTGAATCGAACCTCAGGTATACTATCATCGATATCAATGAAAGCTCATTTAGCATTCTAGTCAAGACTAGCTCATTGACTGCGAAATTAAAAAGGGATAAGTATCCAATAAATGATCATTATGGTTGGGCATATCACACGCTCTTCGCATGCCCAAACATCAAGATTGTTGGCTTGTCATGGAGATGTTCAAATGAGAAAGTACCATTTGAACACATCGCAGTCACAATAGTAACCTTCCGACTGATCATAATAGAGGTTTGAGTGAATAATGTAGGTCATGTGCTACCAAATCCAGAAACTGCGGAATTGCCGTCTCTTGGCGCTAACCTCTTGTAGAGGTTGTGTTGATATTTTGCGATTGAAATCTCTCGCTAGTCGGCTTTTTTCTTCCGCGACATACATCTCGGGCGACGGATGCGAGAACAGGTGACCGCTTCGCTTGAGTGAATTAACAAATCACTCATCCGGATTTCAGCGCAAAAAAAAAAAAAACAGCAGCCAATGGCGTCGCACCTCTGCTCAATACGCAGGTTCGGTAATGGTGGGAATGCTCCTATTTCCATTCGCTACTACCGGTAGGCAGGTGATCTCATAATAAGCCGTCAGACGAGACGACCGGTCTTGCATTTGCTCGCGATTCCAACGTCATTTCCCTGCATCTCTCAGATTTCACAATTGAATTCAATTTCCAACAGTCCCCCGCGGGCAGATTTCCTATCAAACTTACCCGGCTCGTTTTCCTATCAACCACGCAAGCATTCTACAGCCCCTTGACGCCGATAAGAACACCATGTCGCTGTCAACCACCACCGAAATTAGCGCCTCGCTTCCCCCGGAATACACGGAAGACGCATCCGACGTCCAGGAAACGCTGCAGCCCGACACCTTACGTCAAGCAGACCGCTTCATTCACTCAGCCAACTCTGCCGAGGCAGACTCCGGTGTCTATGAAACCAATCGCGAGATCGACTCGCTCCGCGAAAACGACCGTAAAATCGAGTTCAGCCGCATCGACTACTCCCTGAAGCGGAGGGGCGGATACGTCGGCCGCGACTCCACCGCGGCCCCTGAGATCGTCGCGCACCCCAAACGCGTCTTCAACATTGAGCGTCCACCTCTGGTCATCCAGGAGCCCTTCGCGTATTATATTCGATCCGTGTCCCGCAGCGGGATAGGTGCCATCGGGGTCAGATTCTCCAAGATTGGGAAGGGCAGCATCTGCAAGGCATGGCTCGTGAAGAGGAAGCTGAATGCAACGAGCGACTGGGAGGCAAAGGAGCTGCTTTTCGATGTCAGGATTAACAACGATGTGTGCGACTGGATGGACGATAGCGGTAGGCGTCTTGCTGTTGAGGAATCGAGAGATGGCATCAACAGTTTGAACATCTTGGTGTCTTTGGAGAGAGCGATGCGCGACGCACTTGTCGCGACTTGGTGCGTGCGCCGCTGGGAATGCAAAGCGCTGGAATACCATGAGAAACGAACATGGAAAGAAAGTGAGTTGGCTTCTCTCTTCTCGGGGGCTACATCAAGAACCCAGATCCGGCCTTGAAGCTTACGTTTTGCAGGGAAACACATTATGGAGACTTGTACGTTTGGTCTTCCAGGGAGAGGTGGAGCTTGAAATATCCGAACCAAGAAACGAACATTTGATACCCTTTATGCCCTCGTCAATCTCGTGCCGTCTCTCATTGTCCTTCGCTCGATCCCTCCCTCCGTTGCCCAGTGATCGGGCCCGAGAATCTGAAAGAAAGACCCACTTTTGGACTCGGAGCTTCCGAGGCCGATGCCGGCCACGCCACGGCGATTCTTCCGGCGAAAATTTGCGTCGAAAAGAGCCAAACCAGAAAAGCCGCGCTCGAACTCTGACATCATCGCCCCCATTCAAACATCCATCATCAACAGTGACTCCCCGTAAACATCAAATCTCCGACCTCATCCGCCTGACACCTGCAAACGTCGCATCTTCCCCGCAACCGATTTCCTGCAACTGAGCCACATTCTTCACGCCCCTGCAGGATCACCGCTGCGCTGCAACTCGACCCGCTCGGCGTCGACTCACCTCACCTCACCTCATCTCACCCCTAAGCTCCCATCACCAACGCGCAAACCCATCATGGACGGACCATACGCTCACGAACTGACGGTTGCCATCGCGGCCATCCAGCATGCCGCGAGACTCAGCCGACGCGTCCTGGTCGCCTCCGACAAGGGCGTCGTGACGAAAGAAGACCTCAGCCCCGTCACCGTCGCCGACTTCGCCATCCAGGCCCTCCTCACATCAACCCTGCACGCCGCATTCCCCGGCGACAAGTTCGTCGGCGAAGAGTCCGCCGCCGACCTCCGCGAGAACCCGGATCTCCTCAAGTCGGTGTGGGCGCTCCTGCAGCAGGTCGCGAGCGAGAAGGAGCCGGACTCTCTGTGCAAACTGCCCGAGTCGCCTGAGCAGATGTGCGAGATGATTGACTGGTGCGGCCTGGGAGACCCGTCGCCGACGGGGAGGTTCTGGGTGTTTGACCCCATCGATGGCACCAAGACCTTCGTCAGAGGCGAGCTCTACGCCATCAACGTGTGTCTTATGGAGGATGGCAAGCAGAGCGTCGGCATCGTCGGCCTCCCGATGCTGGCGGCGGACGCGAAAGCACCCATCAACAACGACAGCATCGACCCCACCAGCACAGGCAGCATCATGTTCGCTATCAAGGGCCACGGCACCTACATACGCGCGTTGCCCGGGCCGTTGGACCTCCAACCGACGAAGATCCCCCGCCACGCGGACGGCGACAACCACCCCCTGGTCTCGGTCACCTGCATCGACGGCTCCGACTCGGCGGTACCGGGGATCCACAAAAAGGTCGCCGAGCGCCTCGGTGTATCGTACCCCGGCAACGACTTGCTTGGCTGGGTGTTGCGGTGGGCGGTGCTGGGCTTGGGACAGGCGAACTGCACGTTCTGGGCGTATAGGAGGCGCGACCGTCTGGCGAAGATTTGGGATCACGCCGGTGCCATGTTGCTGTTCGAGGAGGTCGGTGGAAAGGTCACGGATGTCGACGGAAACCCGGTGAACTTGGTTGCTGGCCGTAAGATGGTGGCCAACTATGGCTTCATCGCGGCGCCACCGGCGGTTCATGAGAAGGTGAGGACCGCCGTGAGGGAAACTCTAGAAGCTGAGGGCCATGCCCACCTTCTGGGTTAGGGACACAGCGGCATTTTCAGGACCAATGTTTCATTTGCTTTAGCGCTTAGAGTAACGAGTATCAGACGACACATGAATTTCTCAAAAGGGTAACAGGGCTTGTCATTAGAAACTCATATTAAAGCCACAGCAGAACTTATGATATCAAAATGAAGCTACCTGCGAAAGGGGTCCCAGACTTCCTCAAAAATGCGTGTCGATAGCTGGTTTTTATCGGACTGCCATATGGCATCCCGTCAAGTAGCCAACCAGCCGCATTGGCACGCGCCTCCTACTTTGCAGTTCGCGTGGGTTGACCGGAGAGAGGTCCTTTTCTCTTTGCTCATAATCAAAGCATTGAGACGTTAGTCTTACTGTTACCAATACCAGCTAAGCTGCCCTTCTCCGTTTCACACTTCCCAAGATGTGAAGAATATCAGTCTCGATGAAGTCAAAAACGAGCTGAGTCAACTTGCTGTGCCTAACTCTGCTGTTTGCATTAACAACACAGTAGCTCAAACGGCATACCTTGCTAGAGTCAACAGTTGGGTTGCATCTGCAACTCCTTCCGTTCGTATCTAAGCATCGGGTGTGGAGTTCTTTGAAGCACAGCTGGTGCATTAGTCCAGAAAGCACATCTCATTTTCAGAAGAATACCCAGAGTACTGATAGCACAGTTATAGACATCACTTGCTGCACGGCAATCTGATGAAAGCGCAAAATCTTTAGGCAAGAAAGCTATGACTGTAATGGTACGAAAGCGATACCGAGGCTCTCTGAAACTAGGGCAGAAATTCACACTGCGCCACAGATTGAACATGCCAATCTAGTCGTCGTGCGCTTCGTTGTCCAGCATAAAAGTTACGCAGGCATCATGGATGGCAAGTGTCGGTCACTAACCGGCCCGTCGTCACTTATCCTAAGGCCGAATATAAACTTTGATGTTGGAACAGCAAAGAATATTGCCTAGATTGCCTCGACTTGGCAACCCGAGTCATTACACGGAAAAGTAGACACCGGCACTCACGGGCATTTCCGACGCATCCGATTAGACAGCCCCCCTGGTTTTTTGCGCCCTACGTGGAAAGTTAATGTGTATTCAGCGTCGATCTGCCCCCTTATCAAGCCGTTTCTATATTGCGCATCCGTAAGGAGCACAGATCACACAGCACAACTCGTTGCGCTAACTTTCGCTGGGAGGAAGATGAAATCACATTTGTCAAAGTGAGTTCGCCGCGATTGCAACCGATTGCAACATACCAAAACAGATTGGCAACATAGCTGTAGGGCTTGATGATTGAGTGATTGACGAACCTAAACCAAAAGCTTTACTTTCTACACAGCATCTGACGGAATTCATTGCCCGAGAGCAATCCCAAGGCAGTTCGCCCCGGCTGAATTGAATGTCTCCTGTTCCTGCGGAGTCGCGATGTGGGTTCTCCCAGAAACTCAAAGTAATTAACCTGAACCGACAAGGCTGAGCAGTCCCCATTTGATCGTACTTCGGGTTGAATCAAACTACCGACATGCACGATTTCGGGAGTTTCTTCGGAGTGAGCGCACTCGTTGTAGACTATAAGTATCCAAATTGTCTGCTGTCTATTAGATGTTGAAGTCTAGTTAACTCACTCTACATCACTCACAGAACCCAACTTCCACACAGTCCTTCAAAACACCCACACGACAACTCGCCATCATGCAGTTCTTCACCCAGATCCTCCTCCTGGCCTGCGCCACCACCGGCCTGGCCAGCGTTGCTCAGAGCCCTAACGGCATGCTCAACGTCATTGAGACCCGCCAGATGCAGTGCATCAAGAGCAACTGCGGCGGCGTCGGCGCGGCTTGCGCTGGTGCCTGGGTAAGTTATTTCACAGGGTTGAATTCCGTTCAACCCAGCTCCGCTTGGCTCGGTTCCGGGTCGATAGTGTTGTGATACAAGTAGCTAACCATCAACAGTGCTGTGTTCGATACAACAGCGACGGCTGCAAGTGCATTGCTCCCGGCGACATCTCCGAGCAGGGTGAATCTTGCCCCAAGGCATAGATGGGTTGAGGGATTCAGGGGAAGGAAGGCTTTGGTTGTGAGGGGTAGACTACTACGCAGATGAATACCACTTATTTCTTCGTTGATCCAAGCCTGCTTTTGTTCCCACGTGGAATAACGGACTACGACGACGCATCGCTCAAAACAAGCCCAGCATAATGATCACAGTGGCACGTTACACTGCGCATCCATGACAACCTGATCATGGTCATCAAAAACGCGATTCCTATGGAATTCAGACTGTTGACTGAATCATCTGTGCCTAGCTAAAAAGAACGGGTATTTCCCAATGACTCCTCATAAAGAAATGTAAACCCTGACGCCGGACTTCGCGGCCTATAACCTATTCCATGTCCTTGGACCCTATAAAAACTCCGATGGTCTCCCCTAAGACTCTGCCAAAAACAAGTATGAAATCCCCATTCGCATCTCAAAATGAAAGAAGTCGTGTCGCAACTGAATGTTCATTCAGAAGTACTCTGAGACCCTGGCGTAGTCGTTGCGCTGGGCGATGCTGGGGATCTCGCGCAGGTCCTCCAACGGGGTCTGGTTGGGAAGGCGAACAAGCTTGAACTGCTCGAAAAGCCCATTGTGCGTGTTCTTCTTGGTTCCAGACCAAGTGACGCGATAGAGGCCGTCGTAGCGCATGCCGCAGAGAGGAGCCCAGACGGAAAACTTCTTCTTGTCGGAGGAGGCCTTGCGGAGAACGCGAACGGGTCTGCCGTTCATCTGTGAAACGTGAAGAGCAGTGGTTCCGTTGGAACGAGGGGGGCATTGAGTTGGGTTCTTGTGCTCGAGAGACCGAGAGCCGGAGTAGTACAGGACGTCTCCGTTGTCGACGTCAATCTCATCGTAGGTTCCGCTGACAATAACAGAGTAGGCGCCTTGGTCCTTGCGGCCGTGGATACCGGCCTCGGAGGAGCCGTGGGCGCCGACGAACAGGGCGCGAATCTGGGAGGCGAACCAGTCGCCGACGGTGAGGCCGTTATGGCCGATAACCGCAGCTTCGCGCTTCTCGCCCAAGTAGTCCGGGTTGAGACACTGAGTCTTGCCTTTCATGCCAGTGAGTGCGACACCGTGCATGATGCCTCTTCGGCCCCAGACTGGGTGGGCGGGAGCAGGCTTGCGGATGGGGTATTTGCCGTCACTGTCCACATTGTAAGTTCCCATGCGAGGGTGACGAGTAGTGGCTACGGCTGTGTTCTCGTTGTCGCTGGCCGGCGGAGTCAGGGCAAGCGCATCCGCCCTCTGGGCCCAATCATAGAGATCCTGGGCGTGACGCTTATCCTCATCAGAGAAGTAGCGTTGCTGAATAGACTTCTCAGGATCGCATACAATCTTCAGACCACTAGTCAGACGCTGATGGGCCGTGTCGATGGAGCCGAGCTCGCGGGGGAGGACATTCGGGTAGGCTTGTTTGCAGTCCTCGACGTAGTTGAGATAGTCTGCGAACTCCTGCTTCTTCTGGACCACACGGGGGGTGGACTCGTCGAGAGACTTGTTGGACCAAACTGCGAGAAGGCCGAGGACATTTTTGTTGACCCAGGCGAAGTACTTGCCAGGAGTGCGCTCCCGGGGAGGAGTGGGGACAGTCTGAGTGGAAGGTGCGGGAGGAGGGCCGGTGCCTTCCTCGACTGGAGCGACTGCCGCCATCGTTACTGCTGGCGTTGTCTGATTCATCAGAATTAGTAATCGAATCCGTTGGAGGTGAAGTCGATGGTTCATACCGAGTGGAGGCTTGTGAAATTCGTTGAAATTGTGGCGGTGACGCTGTCGGTTTCTCGGCAGGGTGTCCGGCGGCTGACCAGCCGCACCTAGTTGATCGCGAGGAAACAACCAGTCAATAACTAAGGCTAGCAGTGTAACCAAGCCTATGCCACATTTCACAGCCCGTCAAAGCTGGTGTCGCAACTTGAGGCAGGTTGACGGTCTGTGAGTGAGGGAAGTGTGTTGTTGAGGGGTTAATTGAGCATGGACAGTTGACGCGCAGGGTGGAAGGTGAGGTTGGTGGTTGCAGAGTTGCAGTGTCGGTGGTCTGTGCAGCGGTCTTCCGTCGAAAATCAGCCAATCATGTGACACAGACCAGCGCAACTACAACAACTCAGATCGAACAGGAAGGAACGCCGCAGTTGATAACTGCCAGTCGCTCCTTCCGTTCAGATAACTCGAAACTTTCTCAAACCGCCACGCGTAGTCGCTACATTGAGATATATCGGAATATTATTGTGTTGGATGAATAAACCCCGCTTTGTTGATCAGCGTACCTATCGTGCGTCAACTTATATCGTTCAAGAACTCCACAGCGCATGAGGCAAAACCTAAGAGATGGCAAATTGGAAAGAACTAACGCGACGACAGGAGTCATTTGAGTTGCACAATTCAAACTCACGAAGAAAATTGGTGTGTTTGGCACCCTCAATGGACAGAGTCAACGGGTTACGTTATTCATTTTCTGGGAAACGACTCTTCGATCTTGGATCGGGAAATCAGATGCCTAATTCGATGCATGTATGGCCGTTGTTCATTATCTTGGTCGCGTTGCGCTCGTCGCCGCGGAGTCTAGCTCATGCGGTGTCGACCCATCAAGTTCATACGTTGGTAGAGGCGAACCATCCATCTCGACCCGGGACGGTTGAGCTGACATTTCGCTAGGCATTTGGTATGCGTGCTTGCCAGCACTTTGTTCGCCGTACGCCGATCCTCCTTGGTTGCTTCCATCCGGCCCGGTTGCTGCGGTCCTGGAGCCCTGCTTGCGCCTCCAGACAAAGAAGGTGGCGGCCAGGATCAGGCCTATGCCGGCTACACCTCCGACGACTGCTCCAGCTACGGCACCGCCTGAGATCCCACCCGACTCCTCGTTTCCCGCCGAAGCCGTACGCGTCGAAGAAGCAGCCGTCGCAGTGCCCGTGGTCGTTACCGTGTCCGAAACTACTGGGGATCCCGTTGCTGTTGTCGCCCAAGTTGACGTCGCGGTCACGGAGCATGACGAGGTCCTCACGGCATCGGCCCACGAAATGTTCGCAGGTAGCGCCGTCGCTGTCGTTGACGTGCACAGGAGAGCGATGCCTTGGCTGTTGTCGCGGTATGTGCCATTGAAGCCGTCCATGCAGCACCATCCTCCATTATCCAGCTTGCCATTTACACCCCAAAGCTTCCAAGATGAATCGGGACACTATGATATCGTCAACTGCCGCTCGTATGCGAGGTTCGAGAGTAGGGCGAGGTGTGATACCTGGGGGTATTCGAGAGCGAGCGATCTGCAGTCTTCCGGGTCTGCACCGGGTAAAGCGCGTCAGCTTCCAATCAACGGCCACAATAAACAAAGTTGGGGAGGCAATTGCATACCTTTACAGCAATAATTGCCGACATAGTCGCCGTCTCCCGTGCATGTGTATCCGGAAGGACAGCACCGAGGTTGCGCGCCTGTCCCGCACTCGACCGGCGCGTTCGGCGGGCAGGACCCCGGGGCCCGGAGAGCCCAGCCGCCTTCGTAGCTGCATTCCTGGCTGAGCGCTACTGACAAGCTGAAGAGCGCCACCAACAGGCTTCGGGCGCGGGTTCGATCTAAATTCATGGCGCTCGCGGCTCAACAAAAAAGGCGTGCTGATGCAGACATTCGAGGTCTATGAGAAGAGAAGCCCAAACTAGCGGCACGATCGGGGAAGAAGACAAAAGTCTTTCCCATGAAAACCCCGTGAACACGCAAATTCCAGGGTCTAGCTTAAGCAGGCATCAGTCCACCGTCGCAGGGAGTCAGCCCTGTGGCCGCATACGAGGCGAAGCTGGCTGAAACCCTCACTGAGGTGTTCGGTTCGTCAATTGGGCGGGCTAACCCGCCCAACCGCGCCATGAAAGCGACACGATTTCTTTTTACGTGCTGCCAAGCGCTATAAAATTGCAGTGCACTGCCTGAAAATACCCTGTTTTCCGTCCTGTTGTGCAGCATAGATGGGGAAAATAAGCGTAGCTGAAGAAGCTAAGCTGTGCTAGCGTCTCGGCAAGCCGAACAAGAATCACAGCCACAGCGTGTTGGGCGCTTATTCTTCTGATGGATATTTGTCGCGTGGTCTGTGGCTTCCAACGGCGGCCGGAAATCGACGGCGATGGATGTGAGAGGGTGCGAATACGTCGTGAAGAGAGGAAGCCATAAAACCTGATTACAATCGTTCACAAGTAATCTCAATCCAGAGGCGTGGTTGACGCTCTGCAGGGTCCCAGTTGCCCAGAGTTAGGTACCCGTTTTAACAGATGCATGGGACTCTTGTGTCTCTTCTCGCCCCATTCAACGGAGTCTGGGGTAATTGCGTTGCGAACATGCTTGGCCCAAGTTCATGAAATCGACGAGGACTCGAGCGTCTTCTCTACCTGGTTGCTCAGCTCCCAACTTGACAGCGCTAGGTTCGCGATAGCGGTCAGATAAGATATTCGGAGAAACCTGGCGACCCAACATGTCGATACGAGCTCCCTCGACCTGCAAGACCATGTGATATTGCCCTGCGACTGCTCGCGTGCTGAATAGGGAGTTGACGGGAAGAAAGTTCTTGAGCTTCATTAATTGGAAACGATGAACTGTAGGGTGGCGGGCAGGTACGGTACGGCCATTCGAGACTTTTGACATGCCGAGGGCTTTTGAGACTGTGAATTGACTGAAAGCTTTTGGCCATGGTATCTGTTCAGGGCTGAATAGCCAAGATAGCTCCGCGCCGGCTCCGGCCACCACCCCGAAAATACCATGACCCACTTCGTTCGTACCGGTCGTGGCGGCCCCGAGTGTGGGGTGTTGCTCTCGGCACCGGCGGTCGGCATGCCCCGCAGCATCAATGCTGCAGCGATTCGGAGCAGGTTGCCCTTGAATACTGCCGGCCGGGACGGATTCTTCAACCGAGTGGGGAGAGTGTGGCCAAGCCGGCGCGGAGGGTAAGCTGCCTGCATAAATATGTAATGCGGGGGTTCGGCCTCCAGCACGCCATCGAAACAAATGATGGTGAATCAATGGCGTGCGCTGCAAGCGAATGGCGCAACACACCAAAGTGGACGAACAGTAACATCGGCCCCAGTGTTCACGTCTTCCGCACATTGCATGCTAGACAACTGCGAACCTGGCTCGGTTTCGCGTCAAAGTCGATGGACAAAAAGAAGAAATAGCGGCTCAGGTTTGGGTTAAGCTTGGAGAAAACCTCCGATAGAGCTGGTGGGTGTCTTGGAATCAAGCAGTAAATAGCTTAGCCCCCTGCCGTTGCACCCTTTCAATATGCACAACGTCCAGCGGTCGTCGTAGCTCTCTGAACCCAAGTTTTGGATCTCCTCGGAAGACGATCTGTTCAGGGGTTCTACCTGGGTAAGCAACATGTCGTCACCCCCTGTGGGGGAGCATCGTTTTACCAAAGGGGCAAAAATCGGGGTATGGCCGCTGTCTCCTGCCTATGAACGGTCGATATTACCCATCACGCCTTTGATGTTCCCTCCATGTATGCCGTTTGGCTAAGAAATGCGGCGACCGGTAGCCCGGTTCTACCACCAGGGGGGTTTCGGGCGGCGACCGAAGCCCATGCGGAAAGAGATTTTACTGTCTACTTCTTAAATAGATAGTAGAATCTCTGGCGTCGGTAGGAATGTGCTTTTGCTGCCCGCTGTGTCGACTCGACTTCGTTCCTTCTTCGAGTTGCCGTCCAAAATGTCTGCCCAGCAGCAACCGACCAGCAAGCCCTCGCCCGCAGGGTCCATCACGTCTTCGGACCACGCGGGCGCAGACTCCAAGACCGGCACCGGCAAGGATGTCCGAGACGCAGTTCCCCCGACCGCTCCGGCTTTGGCGACACAGCAGACGCAGCGCATGGAAGCCGCGCTCGGCGACGCTATCCTTCGCTTCTTGAGAATTCGAAAGGGCCCAAAGGCGGAAGAATATGACCTTGACGCAGTAGGTTTCCCCCACGGTACATCAATATTTGAACTTCTAGCTGATCAGCAGCATCAAAGATTGCGACCCAACCGAGCATCTGGGATTCCGAGAACCTGGAAGAGTACAAAGAGGCTTACATCCACCCACAATGGGAGAATAAGGAGGCTTTCGACCCTTCATTCCGCTGGACCTGGAGAGAAGAGCGGCAAGTGCGACGCAAGGTTGATTGGAAGATTATGGTGAGTTTTGACGTGCATTGCACACTGGCTTTTATGAGAGCGACTGGCTAACCTGCAACAAACAGGTTTGGTGTTGCGTCATGTTTGCTGCTTTGAACATTGACAGAAACAACATCAACAACGCCGTTTCTGATGACATGCTTCCTGATCTTGGTCTCACTCGCGCTGACTACGTGAGTGCATCTGCGAATGTTCCGAGTCCCTTACAATGCTAACACAAAGAAGAATCTTGGCCAAACAATCTCCCGAGTCGGCTTCCTTGTTGCCGAGCTTCCATCTCAGTTGATCTCCAAGCGGTTCGTCATCTCAGCCGACAAGTAAAACTGAGACCCTTCTAACCTGAACAGTATCGGTCCGGATCTGTGGATCCCAATTCAGATCTGTCTTTTCAGTACCGTTTCCGGCCTGCAATTCTTCCTCAAGGGACGGGCGTCATTTCTTGCGACCAGATATCTGATGTAAGTTACGTTCCATCTGGCTTTGCATGTCACTCTATTGACTCAGACGAATCTAGCGCTACCTTCCAAGGTGGCTTCATCCCTGACACAATTCTGTACCTTAGCTACTGGTACACAGGCACGTCTGTGAGTCACTTCAGTGAATGACAAGGCTTGACGGTCTTTTTCTTACTCTGACTTAGCTTCCAATTCGTCTGGCCTGGTTTTGGATGTCTTCCCAAATTGGTGAGTGGACTCACCCAAGGACATGGCTTGGCTTAATAACTAACAATCTTTCAGTTGACATCGGTGTGGGTTTCGCCGCGGTCGGTCTTCTGTCTATGAGAGGTATCTTGGGCTATGAAGGCTGGAGATGGATGTTCCTCATTGAGTAAGTCATTTTGCTTCGAGCCATCGAGCTCTGTGCTAACTTTCGACTTCAGGGGCTGCTTTACGTTCAGTGTCGGACTGCTCTCATTCTTCCTGATGCCGCAATGCCCCGCCCGGACGAGGAGCTGGTGGAACCCCAAGGGCTACTTCAAGGAAAAGGAGGTTAAGATCATTGTCAACTCCGGTGAGTATCCCGCAAGCTTTAACTTGGAACAGACCGGCATCTAACCTTCATACCACATAGTCATCCGTGATGACCCTCAGAAGGGAGGCATGTACAACCGACAGGGTCTGTCCGTCAGGCAGATCTGGGAGTGCTCCAAAGACTACGACATGTGGCCACTCTACGCCCTCGGCCTGCTCTTCGGCTTGCCCAAGTACCCGGTCAACCAATACCTCACTCTATCCTTCCGTGGTCTCGGTTTCAACGTCATCCAGACCAACCTGCTTTCGATCCCGAACATCGTTGGCTCCAGTATTACCATGCTGCTCATTACTGCTTTGAGTGAGCTGGTGAACAATCGGAGTTTTGTGTCGATGGCCGAAGATGCTTGGTTGTTGCCTTGCTTTGTGGCGTTGATCGCGTTGCCGGACCCCATCAGCCCATGGGCATACTTCGCGATCGCCACAGTTTTGCTCTCGTTCCCCTAGTGAGTGCCGGATTGGCTGATAAAGGATGCATGAGCTAACAAGGCCTAGCACCCATCCCATTCAAGTGGCTTGGACGAGTAGAAACGCAGGTTCGGTGCAGAACAGGACGGTGTCTGCCTCGTATGTCTCCCCTTCCTCTCTTGAAGTCGTCGCTTCGCTGACCCGTCCTCAGCCTTTACAATATGTGGGTGCAAGTCTCAGGCATGATCGGAGCGAACAGTGAGTCTTGATCGTCACCCGCGCGACGACAGAAGACTAACTTTAGCCGCCAAGTCTATCAATCCAACGATGCTCCGCGATACTTCAAGGCAAACAAGGGCCTGTTAGTTATCTGCATCTGGATGTGTGTAAGTAATCTCCACCCTTGCACTTTACAAGACGAGGTGCTCAGATTGTTTGCAGGTTGTTCAATACCCATTTACATTCTTTTACTACCGATGGAGAAACAACCAAAAGGCCAAGGTTTGGGACGCCATGTCCCCAGAGGAGCAACACAACTACAGAACCAACACGACGGATGTGGGAAACAAAAGGTGAGCCACCTCTCGCTTACACCTTGATGAATGATGTGATTAACGTATTATGCACTCAGGCTCGACTTCCGCTTTGCCACATAGACTCCGAAGGTCTACTTTTGCGTGTTTCGACGGGCACCTTACAGTGTTCACCTCCTGTCTTGCCGCAGTCTTGGATTCATAGATATCCAAAGAGAAAAGAAGCGTGTGGTCCATATCCCTCTCTAGATAGAATCAAAATGCCAGTTCATCGTCTCACGGTCAAGTCTATTCCACATGTTGCGGACGGAGACATTTGCCCCGGGGTTATTGTCAACCTATGCCAGTAAGCTAATCCTTGCCAACTGTGTCATTCCTTCAACCGAGCCGGCGGGATGAGTGATCCATGGTAAAATCACAGACGCAGGCGCCAATTATTGGAATCTTGTTATTGTAACGCGCGCGTCAAGATTAACTCCTCGCTGAAACTCTCTTGCCCCTTCTCCAGGTGGGAAAGCCCTTGCTTGGCTGCTCAGCTGAATCTTTAAGGCTTTGAAACAGGGGCGGTTGGGGTAACACCAGCACCACTGCAAGGTGTCCGCATGTAACCGCAGCCCTGTAAGGTCGGTTTGATGTCCCCGTAACTCTAATAACGTATGGTGATATTCCGACAGACCCGCGAAAAAGAATCCTTTTGGAAGATTCCACCCCGGATTTTTGCGGATACGTCTTTCTAGGGACTGCTAACCGAAGGCTTGGAATGAACTGGCCAAGGGTAATTGATTCTCACTCAGTTGATCTGTTTGAATTAGCTCTCTTCTTATCGGGTGCTCGTGTGGCTTGTAGTCAAGGTGATCCCGCCGTTGCACTTCTTCCCCACCAAGCGTACACATTTGCGGACACATGTGCACGCATCCCGCTTCCGCGTTCTCCTTCTGAGCGCTTGAACGAGGCATTCCGTATGTGCTCGGCTCCAAGTCGAGGCGACTCAAGATGACAAGGGAATATCTTTCTCCGTGGAAGTCCCTTTCATCATACTTGTCAAGGCCCTGGGATGGGTGTGTTGAGGCTTAGTCGACCTAGGGCGGGAGCCTCTGGAGCATTCCGAAGTGCCAAGTCCGCTCCTGCCGTGCGGGAGGCTCCGCTGCTCCTATCTTCGGGCTGCTGCAAGGTAGCAAAAGCAATGCAACGGAATGGTTCGGTGGGCGAAATAGGCTGCCCCTGTCTTCGACAGGATTTGTAGATTTTCGCTCGTGAGCGACCGGCTCAAGCCAAGCGATCTCTGGAGTCATGAACCCTGTTGTCGACTGTCGTCCCATTGTGACACATGCCATGAAGCAATTCTGATGGTTACGCGGTAAGCTTAGTTTGGCACTAGGTTTCGCAGGGATGCCGGGGTCTGCCACCGAGAGTGTCGTATTCCTCGGTGTTAGCGAGGGATGTTACGCAGCAAAACAACGAGTACCCATCGCCAAGATGTTTGGGAAGCCATGCTACGAGAATCATGGAGAGATGGTAAACAGATCATACTCGTTTGGCAGTATAAAGCTTGGTCGAGCCCGTGGCGACCCTCTTCAAGATTGCTTCCATCCCAGCGACAACTTTCACATTCTTCCAACCGACCAGACTTCTAATTCTCCTTCCATCTGCTGCGCAGAGACTTTTAACCCCAAATTTCATAATGAAGTTCTTCTCTATCATCTTCTCCGCTTGCGCCGCTGGCGTCCTCGCACAGAACGGGTACGTAAATAGGGTCGGCTGCGCCGCGCCTCCTTTTTCGATTGTGTTTGAAGTCTTTGAGTTCCTTGACTTCCCGTAGCACATGGAAGCAAAAGCCTTTCCCAAAACCATAAGCTAACCCAATTCTTCTCCAACAGCTGCGGCTTCCCCGATGGACCGGATTGCAAGTCTCTCGGCAAAGGCGCAAACGGTCTCGAACAATTCGCCGATCCCGATGGATGCTGTCTGTTGCCCCTTCGTTGCGGCAATGGAGACGGCGGCGAGAGATGCGAGCGCGTGAGCGGCGCTAGTGCGGGCAACACCGGCAACAACACCAACACTGGCAAGAAGACCAGGAAGAACAACAGAAAGAGAAGACTCTAGGCGACCAACATTCAGCAACAGAGCCGATGTTGTGACATAAGCACCTCATAAACAACTGAGCCAGATCTCTCTTTCCTAGATAATCGTAGTGATAGGTGGAAGGGACTTTTACAATCCACATTTTCTACGTCGCCAAGGACCTGAACTTCAAATGTAACATATACCACGCCTGTGTGATGGAATTGTTTATTTACCGACTTAGAACTAGTCTCTATAGACTTTTCTTTGAAGTCGTAATCCTACAGATTGTCTATCTCTTGAACTATTTCTTCGCCTCTAAGTACAGTTCATACTCATAGCTTGAGAACAAGAAAGGCGCAACTCCTTTCAGGTCTGACTCAAACAAAGGCTGGCTTGCATAGTACTGGGGTCATGTCAGTATGAGCTTGTTGAGAATGATATAGAGAGCTTTCTCACCTCGAATGTGCCGTTCGAGCTCAGACTGCCAGTCTGGACAGTCCACTCGTATAGAAGGGCATTGTCGTTCTTGCGGACCTCGGCAAAAGTGTCCGTCATGAGCTTGTAACCATCCAGAGCAGCTTTCAGATATTTGTCCCCTGTGATGTAACCGAGACGTACACTCTTAAGCAGGCCATAGACGAACATGGAGGAGCCTGAGCTCTCGATGTAGTTGCCCCACTGACCCTCAGTGCCGGGAGTCATAACCAGCCACCATCCTTTGGTCTTCTTGTCCTGCGCCGCAACAATGGCATCGGCGACGGACTGCAGGTACTTCAACAAGCGCTCACGGCCTGTATGGTTCTCTGGAAAGAGTTCCAGGGTGTCAACCAGGGCCATAATGTACCAACCGACTGCACGACCCCACACATGCGGGGAGGCACCAGTCTCGGGGTCAGCCCAGATAGCCTTCTTGCTCCAATCAAAACCATGAAGCGGGAGACCATTGGTGCGCTCACGCTCGGAGATTGTTCCGGCGTCAATAAGGTCGTACTGAAGGGCAATGTCGTCCCAGGCTGTGGAATTTTCAGCATCAAATTCGTGGGTCCAGCGAGCATAGTACACATCCAACATGTAGATGCCATCCAGCCACATCTGATCGATGTAAACGGGGTACCTATGGTAGAATCCTCCGGTGGGCGTGCGGCCAGTGCGATCGATTTGGTTGCGCAGAGTCTGGGCAGCTATCTTGTATATCTCGTTCCCAGTAAACTTGTACAAGTCGAGGAACGTGTGGCCAAAACGAATGTCGTCAATGGAGTTGCTGTTGTTATACAGAAGGATCTCTCCATTCCATGCCGGATAGAGAATGACATCTGCATAGTGCTTGACATAGTTGTAGTACTTCTCATCGCCGGTTCGGTTGTATGCCAGAAGAATGCCGGAGTAGTATGCTGAAACAGTATAGGCAAAGGTTGGTTCAACGCCGTGCTTGATCTGAGAATCGGCCATCCACGTAAGGTATCGGGTCTCCCCTTTGAACTTGGATGTCTTGATCTTCTCATCCGGTGGAACTGTGAACCATCCATTTGGAAGGGAGACGGAAGCGGCTGCGAAGGTGGCGCTCGCCAACGCAGTCGTGACAAGAGTTGAGACCTTCATCTTAAAGGTGGACTGCAGGCTTGATACTGCTGCGAAGTCCTCCGATAGACACAATGAGGTGCTTGCCGTTCTATGAAACAATTGTCTACTCGTACCTGCGCGTATTTATACAGAATTTCCAGCAATACCAAGCTACCTCGACAGAACTCGTCAATCTCGTGAAGTCGCAGCCGACAAGGTTCCCCTCACTGACCCAAGATCGGCCAAGACCCCACGGTCAGTCTTGTTCTGCTTATCCGACGCATTGTCTTGAGCTGCAGCTGCGTATTCCATCGTATGTCTGTAGTATGCTTGGATAGTAGAGGAGACATCATCCTACGCCGAGTACCGAGCAGCTTCATGCTGTTCCACAGGGACGGAAAAGCAGACCCTGGCTTAGACTGCGGGGGTCCAGGGTCGGTCTTTGCGGGGAAGCCATTGGGGCAGCTATTGGCGGCGGGGAACTCGACGAGCTTACCTTGATGCTTATTTGCACCCTAGAGCTCACTGATAAACTTTCCTTTGTGAAGTTTGTACCTTTTTTGAACGACATACCATCTTTATCAGAGGATTATTAGCTGGCTCGCCTTATGGAATGGACGAAATCCTGTAACACCCACGGATACTGCAGCCGTTTCTTCCATGTCGGCATTCAAACCTGTCTGCGAGTAATCACGGATGCCGGCACAGCGCAGCTGCAGTCAAACGAGAGCGGGAGGTGAGTGCCAGTCGAAAGTGCGGCTGGTCCCAAAAGACCGTCAAAAGCTTCCTAATCTCTGTGATCGACTCCCTGGAACAATTTATACACCAATCAGCGCTTTATTCTGGGCTGGAAGATCAGGGACTATCTGGCGGGCGAATCGATTTATTCACCTCGGTTGTTTGTTAGACCGGACTGCCTGCGTCAGATCCTTGGCACCATGTCCAACGTGACTGGGCAGCGACGCCTTTCGTATTAAAAGCCCTGCAGCATCGCCATTTTGCCAAGACAATGACCTGAGCCGTTGGACACCGCCGAATGGTACTTTGGACTTATCCGCCCAGCAGGTAATGCGTTGAAACCGGGTCTTTTCCGCGTCAATCAATGAGATAATTTGGCTCCATATACGTCAGAAAGTTCGCACATTTTTGGTCGCTGGCAAACTCTTCCGGATGTGAAAAGTTTACTAAGCCCTGATTGTTTTGAACGGCTGCTCAAATTAACCAAATAAGTAATGCAGGCAGATTCTTCGCATGCCTGTGGTGTCTCGCCATCATCTATCCAGCCATATTCATTAGGCCATATTCCGTTGAAGCTCGTCAAGCATCCAATGTCATCGTGAAACCAAGGCTCTGTTCTGAATCCATTTCCCACGGTCAGTCCCATGAAGGCGTACTACCTCCGAATTCGCCTCCGAAGTTCCGATCGAATGCCGGTTTGATGGGTCTTGCCAGCGATTGCCGGGAACGGGCAAATCTGCCGGCCATAATCAAGCATGGAC